GGCCTTACTCAGATTTCTCTCACGGTCCCATTCCATGAATGTTCATGCAAGTGAGTTCTCGGTAACCTGGCTCTTTGCAAAAAGTCAAATTTATATCCGTTTTCTCAAGTTCAGGCAGCAAGTACATTTTATATGAGCATGCCTTGTGATGTTCAGGGAGACTGTTTCTATTCAGGGGGTAGAACAATGCCACTTAATGGTAAGTCCATTGAAAAACAAGAAGTGCAGCACAAATTGCAAGGCAATAAGATGAATCTTGTAGAATAATTTTGAAAAAAACAGTACATCTGAGAAACATCACAACCTGCTCCTAGCTATTCCCTAGAAAAGAGAATAAACCTCACTGTATGAACTATTTGTTATGAAAGTATTCAGTTTAGTTCCAAGAGCAACAAACCAGATGAAGCTATGTGTTCATCAGTTAGCTTCCTAAACTCTGCTGGAAGTGGATGTGTCAGGCAATTTCATCAGAGCCGTTATGATATTTTTTTCTTTCCATTAAAAACATCTAGCTACAGCAACTGCAAAGAAAAAAATAAAAACCAACACTCTGCTGAACATTTCCTTACCTCACATCTCCTTCGTGATTTTCCATCTCTGCAACTGATGCTTTAATTAGCTAAAAACCTTCTGACTCTAAGCAGGTTGGAGGTGCTGTTTCACAGCCCCACCACAGCAGATTATTAATCTAAAGCAAAGCAACACAACCAGGAGGTCTATAAATACCAGAGACACCTGAGTTACTCCGTTTGATTGTACTGAATTTATCAGAGGAGAGGGATGGTCCCTGCATGCAGATTTCTTGGTGCCTGTTTGTAGTCACAACCTCTTCTGCAGTGTAGAGCCTTTTGAAGGGAAGATCAGGGGCTAGATTGGATTTTTGAGTTACTTCAGCAGTATCACCTCAGAGGCAGCACATGTGCTAGTCCTGCGACTCCTTCGGTAGTACAAGGGATGAACTAATCGTGTTTCATCAAGCATATCTCTTGATGTCCTATGATGTGGAAGATATAACTGCAATATGGCATTGGGAACCAGGTGTTAGGAACCACTGCATTTGACCCACTAAGAAGATCATCACTGTCCAGGGACGTCAACAGAAAAATGTGTAAGAAATAGTACAGATTTTTTCCATGAGGTATTTTCCAAATTTTCAGGGGAAACTCATTAGTTGTGTAATATGGGGTCTCCTAGAAGAAGCTGCAATTATAATGGTGCTGCAACTCATCTCATAAGGACTCGGTCATCACCTCATGATATCTAAATTTACTTTAAAAAATTTCCAGTGAAGGGCCCTTTAGAACAAGGTCAGTTCCAAGGGTTAAAGTAAAGTTTGCAGGAGCACAGGTCCAGTTCTGCTCTCATGCTTCTCAGCAGCCTTATATTCCTTGAATTAAGCTACTTTAAAATTTTTCTTCTCTGGGAAGATACTTCAGAATCTATTTGTGACAGTAAAAATTCTAAAATATGGGCAAAATCTCTGCTCCCTAAGGCTATTTCTTGAGACAGCAATTTCTTGAGTATCATTAAAGTGAGAAGAACAAACTCTGAATGCCAAATTCATGCCTGGTGTCATTCAACTGATCAGTGCACCAGCAGTGGACTTGGCCATGCACATACATTATGCTGTCTGCTTACAAAATGACAGAATCCAGCATCTGGGCAGGCCTGTGTGCAGACTGACTGGAACTGGTTATTGAATTGTATCTAAACCCACCATCTCAATGAATTTTTGGCATTGTTCTCTTTACAACACTCATAAACAAGGCCCCCCTTTTCAACAGGCCCTTTGGCACTCATATTCCAGGAGTTTAGCAGTGTGGGTGTCTAGTAATGCCCGTTCCCATCCTTCACTCAGTAAAAATTGCACAATAAATTGTTTCTCGAATTATTATTATTTCCCAGACAAAATATAATTTTAATCCACATTATACAAGATTTCGCTGTTTTGTTGATAGGGATGTATTGTGGTAGACTTTAGCTGCCTGTTAAATACTTCCTAAATGGTGAGTGATGAATCAATATGAGATTACAAGAATTGTGTGGGACACACCATACCTACAATTTAGCTTACCTTTCCCTGAAAACTGAAGATCTTCAAACTGGTCTCCAGATAGCAAAATAATTTTAGGAAGCCACTCTTCTATCAGTAGAAAGCCTACCAGTAACCTGACCAATTTGATGCTGGGGGTAGCACCACTGAAAGCAAGTCTGAAGGTGGCCTCCAGATGAATGGCAGAATCAGTGTCAATGTAAGGAACTCAGAGCAAGATCAGAATGATTACAGATTCCTGTAGTACAGGGGGATTTCTGTAATAAATGTGACTTTAAATGACAGAAAATATCTGTGGCATCTGAAGATGCTGTGAGCTGTATTGAGAAGTTCACTCAAGGCTGTGACTTTGTCTTTGTGGCCTTGTGCAAGACACTCACTGCTCTGTGTCAAGTTTTCTTCATCCATCAGATGGGGTTTTAACACACTGAGTGCCCCTTATGATCCAGTGGAGGACATTCAAAAGCTTTTGTCCAAGAAAAGTATTCACTGAAACTACTCTTCTAATGCGTGCAGGGCGGATCTCTGGATGTGCCTACAGAGTACACCAGTGCCAGAAGCAATGTACTGGTGTTTGGTGAGGCTCTGCCTGGCTCAGTACACATCTGAAGTGGCTTGGCAGCAAATGGCACTGCTGTGAGCTGTATGGACGTATTTATAACCAACATTGTAAGGGAGAGGCCTTCAAGAATGCATTTTGCGCAGCTGAGATGCTGTAGCCCTTCAAGGGAGCATGTTGCGTTGCAGTGACACATCCTTCTTGTTCCACATCAGTACAACTCTGTTGGAGACAGGAGATACTGAGGATGCCACCTCATGTTTTAAAAATACTTCCCTGGTACTTGGAAAATCCAGCTGTTTCTTTCATTGTTCTGCTTCCAGTTTACCACAGCAGCCATGTTATTTCTTATTATGGAGTCAATGCTCTGATGGAGATAATGCAGTGGAGTTTGATTTTTTTTAAGCTAATGCAGTAGAGTTTGATTTTTTTTAAAGCATTCCAGCTGGTTACAGCTCTAATTAATTGTATGAAATGCAGCTCAACCTTGCCTTAGCAAAGATTCTTGACTTTTCTAAGTATTATCTTTGAGAACAAGAAAGCAGAGCAACAGAGAACAAAAAGAAGTGGGAGGACAGGTGAAATAGCCTCTTTTTAAATCCTACTCATCATTGATCTGGGTGGTTATGATACTTTTTTATGATTTCACCCTGCTTCCCAGATATACTCAAAATTTACTTGCTAAGCTTGACTCTGTGGCCTAATTCTCTTTTAATTTCTTTCTTTTGATATCTCCCTTTGCTGCATCTCAGTTTCAGTAAACACAGACTTCTGGTATAAGATGTGGACACAGACCTGAAAGGTCCAAAAAGGAGGAGTGAACTTGCTGCCACATCAGGTGAGAGGAAGGGAGTTGTGTGTTAGAGAGCATCACCCCCTTTTACAGCATACCTATGATAAAGGTGGGTTAGAATTGCCTTTACTTTCAGATTTCTCACAGATTAAGCTGGATCAGTATGTTTCTCCACTGTGATCATTTGCCAGCCTCAAGCAGCTCATTTCTGCTCTGTACTTTGCCCATGGCTCCATCTGTTACTTGAGAAAAGCTCCCTGGAAGAAGTCGACACCCTTTATTCCTTGGGATTCCTGCTCAAAACTGGTTGCTGTGGCATAATAATTAGTTTGGAAGTAAGCTGTGATGGTGATAGTGTCTGCCTGAGAAATATATCTATTACTCCACATCTTCTACTCCTCATCTCAAAATGCCTATTTCTTCCCTCATTTTTTATTTCTTGCCTTCTGTGTGTTAACTTTCCCTTGGGAAGAGAAGGAAGAAGTGTTGCTATTATATATGTACATGGTGTAGTGCTGTAGTCCCCTTCAGTGATCCCCACCCGGTTTATTATTAACATTGTAAACTATCATCATCCCTCTGCAAACCCTGTGAGAAACTACCAGGGAAAAAAAATGACTTGGGGTTGATGTGCAGCACAAATGCAAAGCCCTGACAAGAGCTAGCCCCACTAATTATGGTGGAGAAGCTTGCGTGCAGGTGTTGCTTGGCATCCAGCAACTGCACCATCTGCATGTCTCTGCTTATCTTGAAGAAGTGTGTTTTTATATAACCAGTAGAAATGAACATTGTTGCTTACTTCTAAGATCATCCTATACCAGATGTGAGGATTGCACAGCACTGGTGGACAGGATCTGGGCAGCGTGCCATGGCTAGCAGTCTGACCCCACACAGCTTGAGTTTCCCACCAGCAGAGGGAATGTAAGAGTATCTCCACTATCACTTTTTCATGTTATCTCTAATGAACAGTATTTTAATCAACACCTTAGGGAGCCCAAGTGCCTTTCTTGCTGGGACTTGTAACAAATACTTGACTAGCAGATTACACTAATATCACCCATTATGTAATAATTGAAAAACTGTAAATTCTCAGGCTCGGTACAAGGCCATCCTCCTGAAGTAAATTTCTTTGCAAATTAAGGGTTTAGGTTGCAATGAACACCTGGGGAAATTCTGCTGCCCATGGGTTTGCAAGACAGCATGAATATTCATTGTGGAGGCAGCAGCAGGTGAATAGCAATACAGCAGATCTTCAGGATCAAGCCTGGGTATCCATGAGAGACAGCATTATGTTTTGAAATTTAAAATATAGGGAAAAACAGATAAAACAAGTATTAGTTCTGTTCAGTGCCTGTACAAAGTATTAACGTGGTCGAATATATCTCCAACCTCCTTTCATTAGTGGGGCATGCTATTAGCTGGCTACCCACCAAGGGCAATGCTGATGCCAGAGCTGATGGCCGTACACACGGAGGAAAAAGGGTTTTTTTCCCTGAAATATCCCCAGAGCTTTGTGTACACCCATGCCGGCAGGGCAGG